GTTGTATCTGGTAGTGTTGTATTTTGTACCTTTAAATAAACACAGGAGAAGGAACACAACATAACCAGACATCCTGAAAAGAGAAAGCATGGGGAGACAGAGAAATAGCCCGCACATGAAAGAAAAGCAGGCATCACCAGAAAAGGAAGTAAACGAGTCAAAGGCAAGCAGTCTACCAGAGCAAGAATTCAGAGTAATGATCATAAGATGGCTAAAAAGAAAGGAAGAGAAATTTGACAATAACCAAGAAGAAATGAGGAAGAAGCATGAGGAATTGAAGAAGAACAAAAAGGAATTGAAGAAGAACCAAGAGGAATTGAGGAAGAACCAAGAAGAAATGAAAAATGACATCACTACCATGAAGAACTCAATAGAAAGCATCAAGAGTAAACTAGATGAAGCAGAGGACCACATAAGTGAGCTAGAAGACAAGATGGAAAAAAGTACCCAATTAAAGCAGCTTCTAGAAAAAAAAAAATTAAAAAGCAGGAGGAGAGTCTATGGGAACTTTGGGACAATACAAAACAAAATAATATTCGAATAATAGGGGTTCCAGAATGAAAGGAAACTGAAGTAGACATGGAAAAAGTATTTCAAGAAATAGTGACAGAAAACTTTCCTGAATTAGAGAAGAAAAAAACCCACACAAATCCAAGATGCTCGCAGAGTCCTAAGCAAAATGAATCCCAGAAGACAGACGCCAAGGCACATTATAATTAAACTGGCAAACAACAACTACAAAGTAAGAATCTTAAAAGCAGCCAGAGAGAGACAGAAAGTTAAATACAAAGGAACCCCCATCAGACTAGCAACTGATTTCTCAACAGAAACATATCAGGCCAGAAGGAAATGGGATGAAATATACAAAGTCATGCAAAGGAAGGGTCTGAATCCAAGAATACTGTACCCAGCAAGGCTATCAATCAAAATTGAAGGGGAAATCAGGAGTTTCACAGACAAAAAAAGACTGAAGGAATTTATCTCCACCAAACCAGCAATGCAAGAAATGCTAAGGGGTCTACTGTAAAAATAAAGAAATAGGAAGTGAAGAAGGAACACGGGTATAGAATAAAAATGGTGTCAAGTGAGTACCTATCAATAATAACCTTAAATGTCAATGGATTAAATGCTCCAATCAAAAGACATAGGGTGTCAGATTGGATGAGAAAACAAGACCCATACATCTGTTGTCTACAAGAAACCCACCTCAGAAAAAAAGATGCACACAGACTGAGGGTGAAGGGATGGAAAAAAGTTTTCCAGGCAAATGGAAATGAAAAAAGGCTGGGGTAGCAATACTTATATCTGACAAATTAGATCTCAGAGTGAAGGACATAACAAAAGATAATGAAGGCCACTTCATAATACTAAAGGGAACAATCCAACAAGAAGAAATAACCCTGGTAAATATATATGCACCCAATATAGGAGCACCCAAATACATTGAAAAAAAAACTGCTGGAGGACATTAAGAGAGAGATTAATAGCAATACAATCATAGTAGGAGATTTTAATATCCCACTGTCACCCTTCGACAAATCATCTAAACAAAAAATCAGCAAAGAAATATCAATCCTAAATGACTCACTAGACCAGATGGAATTAATTGACATCTTCAGAACATTCCACCCCAAAGCCACAGAATATACATTCTTCTCAAGGGCACACGGGACATTCTCAAAGATAGACCACATTTTGGGACATAGGCAAAGTCTCTTCAAATTCAAGAAGATAGAAATCATATCAAGCATCTTCTCAGATCATAATGTCATAAAACTGGAAATTAACTACAATAAAAATAATCTAAAGAAATCAAACACATGGAGACTAAACAGCATGCTATTAAACAAGGACTGGGTTACCAGAGAAATCAAGGAAGAAATTAAAAACATCCTGGAAACAAATGACAATGAAAACACAACAATCCAAAATCTATGGGACACAGCAAAAGCAGTTTTGAGAGGGAAGTTCATATCCTTACAAGCCTATTGCAAAAAAAAAAAAACTAGAAAAAATGGTAACAAATGATCTAACTCTACAACTCAAAGAGTTAGAAAAAGAGCAACAAGAAAAGCCCAGTGTAAGCAAAAGGAAGGAAATAACAAAAATCAGAGCACAGATAAACGACATAGAGACCAAAGAAACAATACATAAGATCATCAAAACCAAGAGCTGGTTCTTTGAAAGGATAAACAAGATAGATGAACCTCTAGCCAAGCTAACCAAGAAACAAAGAGAGAGGACCCAAATAAACAAAATCAGAAATGAAAGAGGTGAAATAACGACAGACCCCACCAAAATACAACAGATTGTTACAAAATACTATGAACAACTCTATTCCAACAAACTGAACAACCTGGAGGAAATGGACATATTCCTAGAAAAATACAATTTTCCAAAACTCAATCAGGAAGAATCTAAAAATCTCAATAGACCAGTGACTTGGGAAGAAATTGAAACAGTCATCAAAAAGCTTCCAGCAAACAAAAGCTCAGGGCCAGATGGCTTCACAGGAGAGTTTTACCAAACATTCAAGGAAGAACTAAAACCTATCCTCTGCAGACTATTCCAAAAAATCCAAGAGGAAGGAACACTTCCAAACTCCTTCTATGAAGCCAGCATCACCCTAATACCAAAACCAGATAAAGACAACTCAATGAAAGAGAATTACAGGCCAATATTCCTCATGAACATAGATGCCAAAATCCTCAACAAAATTCTAGCAAATCTACTCCAGAAGAACATCACAAAGATCATACACCATGACCAAGTAGGATTTATTCCGGGAATGCAAGGATGGTACAATATCCGCAAATCAATAAACGTGATACATCACATAAACAAACTGAAAGATAAAAATCATATAGTCATATCAATTGATGCAGAAAAAGCGTTTGATAAAATCCAACACTTTTTCCTGATAAAAACTCTTAAGGTGGGGAGTACAAGGATCATACCTCAACATAATAAAAGCTATATATGATAAACCCACAGCCAACATTATACTCAATGGGCAAAAACTAAAACCATTCCCTCTAAGAACAGGAACAAGACAGGGATGCCCACTCTCGCCATTCCTGTTTGACATAGTACTGGAAGTTCTAGCCATTGCAATTAGACAAGAGGAGGAAATAAAAGGCATCCAAATTGGAAAAGAAGAAGTAAAGTTATCCTTATTTGCAGATGACATGATATTGTACATAAAAAACCCAAAAGACTCCATTTAAAAACTAATTGACTTAATAAATGAATTTGGCAATGTAGCAAGATACAAAATTAACGCCAAGAAATCCATGGCATTTCTATACACCAACAATGAAACTACAGAAACAGAGACTAAAAAAGCAATTCCATTTACCATTGCACCAAAAAAAATTAAGATACCTAGGAATAAATTTAACTAAGGAAGTAAAGGACCTATATGCAGAAAACTACACGACACTGAAAAAAGAGATAGAGGAAGATGTAAAGAGATGGAAGAACATACCATGTACATGGATTGGTAGAATCAACATCATCAAAATGTCCATACTTCCTAAAGCAATCTATAGATTCAATGCACTCCCCATTAAAATATCAACGACATATTTCACTGACCTAGAAAGAACTCTCCAAAACTTCATTTGGAACAATAAAAGACCCCGAATAGCCACAGCAATCCTGAGAAAGAAGAGTAAAATAGAGACTGGGTCAGATGACTAATAAGGATATGTGATCACCAAGGAGGATTCAGATACTGAGATCTTGGAGCACTACCCATTTCAGAGGAAGTTGGGGTCCACCTAGGGCTCTGTGACAGAGATTGGACAGGGTGGAATGCTAGCACTGGGAGAGCTGAAGAACCACAAACTCAGCACATTAGATCATTCCCACTGTGTCAAAGGGCTTAGGACAAGGAAAAGCTGTAGGTCAGAGGAGATAGACGAAGAGCCAAGTTCTGAAGTCAATGAGGAAGAGGGGTGGGATTTTGTAAACAGAAAACTGGGTTTGAAGATGAGGCAAAGCAGAAATGAGTACAGAATATATAACTCTAAATAGGAATGGTTAGAGGTAAAATAAATAAAACGAACAAACAAAAGATCACTACATGGAAAGCAAGCAGAATTAGAAACCCTTCTCTCTCCTTGCTCCATGCAGGCAAGCTTCTGGTTGGAGGAGGTTTTGAGGTTTCCATTAAAGGGCCAGACGCCCCTGTTGAGAGGAAGTGACAGTGCGGCAGAGGGTGACCCTAAAGACAGAGCTCTCGCTCAGGGAGCAAAGGAGGCACAGGTCACGCCTGAGAGGAAAGCGTTCAGGCGTGTAGCAGCCATTGGTGACGTGGGAGGGGGATGGAACAGTCAGAAAAGTGTGCCTGGGGCTGAGAAGGCTGTCAGAGGAACAAATCAAATAAGAGATGACAGAGTAGGTTGGAGGCCCATTGGGAAGAAATAAGGCCTGAAGAGACCAAATTTGAGAGTATGAGGAATGTACCATTTAAACAACTCCAATCATGCCAATCCGATGCTAGAGTGAGGTCGATGACCAGCACTTTGAACCACTCTGGGTGCCAGACTCAGACCATTTCTTCAAAGCTGGAGGTCAGATTGTCTATAAATCTTAAAGCTAAAGTAGAAAAACCATCAGATGAGTTAGCCCAACCCCCCTTCTTATAGATAGGAAAGAGGTTAATGGTTTCTCAGTAGTAGAGCCACGACCAGAATCCAGGTACCGTGACCCTACGGTGTCCTCTTCCTGCAACTCCCACTATTGCCCCTAATAGGTAGGTATGTCACGGGAGGAGGCAACACCTTACATTGCTTATGGTGACTGAGGACTGACTAGTACTGGGAGGTTCACGATTCTCGTTCAGCTCTGGCTAAACTTGTTACCAGAACGCCAAACTATAACCTCCCACCATAGCCAGTGAGCTGCTCTTCAGAGCCATGATCTGTTTCAGAAATGCTGGTTTTCCTGGTGTTTGCTTCAACCTGACATCATTCTTGTTCGTGTTGCTCCTCTAGTGTCTTTAGCCTCCAGCACAGTGGGCTTGGCTGGCCAGGTCGTTCACACAGAAACCACAGAGGTTGTGCTGACAGCAGACCCTGTCACAGGATTTGGGATCCAACTGCAGGGCAGTGTGTTTGCCACGGAGACGCTCTCTTCCCCACCTCTGATTTCCTACATTGAGGCTGACAGCCCTGCAGAGAGGTGAGACGCTTCCTTTCACGGCATCTTTTTCTGCTGTGCACTTGTGCACCAGCTCTTTGGACAACTAATAAATTATGGAACAGGGCTCAATGCAGGAAATGTAAGATGTAAATGAACTCTCTGTTCTGACAATAAAATTTTATGTTCTTGATCAGTTTTGAGAAGAATTATGAGCATGGATGCCTTTATCTAGCAGGGTTTCGTCCATCAGGGACTAAGGGTATGTTAATTAAAAAGGAAAAAAAATCTATTAAAAAAATCTTTAAGTTCAAACTTTAATAATTTTTCTGCTGTGGGGGGATGAATATTCATCATTACTATATATTGGTTAAGATCAGATTAGAAAAATATCGTGGTGCTGAATTATTAATTACTTTGCTGGAATACTTCAAGATTCCCTTGCTCACATTTGTAGCCATGAGATACAAAAGTGCAAGACATTGCAATTGATCTAATAGGATTCCCACAACATTGAAAAAAAACAAGACCACATGGTTATGCCATTTTGCAGGGATCAAACAAAGCAGAGTTGGCAACTTGAACTGATGATAATTGACCCTCTATACAAACTCTAACATGTGGTTCTACATTCAGATGTGGGGTCCTACAGATTGGAGACAGAGTGATGGCCATTAATGGGATTCCAACCGAAGATAGCACCTTCGAGGAAGCCAATCAGCTCCTCCGAGACTCCTCCATCACGAGCAAGGTCACCCTGGAAGTCGAGTTTGATGTGGCAGGTACGACTATATCATCGCCAGTTAGCTGCTGAGTCAGGAGTGGACTGCCCGCGAATTGCATGCACGTGGCAGATGGGGATCTATTTTTTATACCCTGACGTGCTTTTGTTTAGGAGATTTGGGGTGTCATTTTGAATTGAACATTGTTGTTGTATTATTCATTAAAATGTCACCACAAGAACAGTAGAAAATAAATGTGACAAAATAAATAAGTAATAGCCACTATAAAGGTGATAAAAAGAAGCATGTAGCCTTTATTCTTCCTGACTTTCTCCTATAGGCTAGAGAATCCATTTTCTTCAGTCACACAGACAAGAAAAGCCTCACTTTGACCCTTCCCACTGCAAAGAACATAAGAAGGTTTGGAGGAGAACAATGAAAATTCATTAAATAGATGTATACAAGCCCAGTGGGTAACCATTTGGTCTTTAACGTTAAAAAGAAATTCTAACACTTGTTAAAAATGAAAAGAAAGACTTTATTCAAGACTAATGTGGGAGAGAGCAAAGACAGGCAGAATTTATAGCCAGCAGGCAAGGAGAGGGTGAGGGAGTCATTGGATTGAAAATTACTAAGAGGGATTTGATTTGGTATCAATGGTGAAGGGATGAGAGATTTGATTATATATTCAATGATGGAGGAATACTCTATAAATTGAGTTAGCAGGAGACTTGGCTAAATTGGCTCAGCAAGCTAAGGGTTAGGCCAAAGACAAGTTCTGGTCAAGAAGAGGACCTACAGGAGCCTAAATTTGATCAGGAAGGGAGTCCTTGTCAGTAGCTAATGTGTGTGTAGGTCTTAGAGGTTGGTGCAAATTCCCATTTTAGAAAGTTATCTTCACCCAGTGAAACAGTACCTCACTGAGCCAATAACCTTAGCCAACCCATGCAGATATGCCTTTGGACATAGAGATTGCATTATCCCTACATTGATGAGTATTTACTTTGGGCCAATTTCATTTCTATACCATGGAGATGCAATAGGAGACAGGAAAGAAAAAAATCCCTGTCTGAATGAAGCTTATAGGCTATCTTACAGAAAGTTAATGTTTAAGTTAACAAATATAAAGTGAGACAATAATAAGTGCACTAAGGGACATAAAGCAGGGTGGGAATTAGAGAATGGCTGTAGGGAGCTATTTTCATAGGATGACTTTCTAAGGCGGTGGCATTTGAGCAGAGATTTGAAGGTTGAGAAGGAGCCAGCCAGGGGAATCTGGGAGGAGCGCATTCCAGACAGAGGGAACAGCTGGTGTACAAGATGTGAACCAAAATAATAGGCTTGGTGGATCTGAGAAACAGCAAAAAGGGCTCTTGCTACACCATATAGGGGAGCTGGGCTGAGAATCAGGTTTGGCTTTAAAGATGGGGTGGGAGAGGTTGGAAAGGGCTCGCTTATGAAGGGCCTTGGTAAAGACGGTAATAAATTATACTCCAGATGCAATGAAGCCAAGGTGCATTTTATGGAAGGGAGCGAGGTAACCTGATGAATGTTTTGGAGATATCCTTCTGAGATGAAAAGGGACAATAGCAGCAGCAGAAAAGCCAGTTAGGAGCTGGTGGCAGTTGGATAGGTAAGGTATAATGGTGCTAGGGATGGTGACCAATAGTGAAATTTAGGACTTGGCTAACAGAACCTGCTCATGGATTAGATATGGAAGATGAGGGATGGGGTGAAGAGTATAAGGGATAGCAGTTGAGTAAATAACTGATGTCTTCATATGGGAGCAGGACTTGAAGAGTAGAAATTTGGGGATAGCAAAACATTCTATTTTAGACTTGAGCAGGTAAATTCACTGCCAATGCTAGGGAAAAAGGACAAGTACATTCATTCCTTAATCCAAAAGGCAGTCAGTCATCAAGCACCAGTTACTGAGTGCCATATTCAGATCACTGAAAGAGGAAATAGAAAGGATCAATGTCGTCAAGGAGCTCATAGCCAGTTAGACAAGAGCAAGAACTGCTGAAAGATAAGAATAGACTTACTGCCAAAACCGGTTTGGCTCAGTGGATAGAGCATTGGTCTGCGGACTGAAAGGTCCCGGGTTCGATTCCGGTCAAGGGCATGTACATTGGTTGCGGGCACATCTCCAGTACAGGGTGTGCAAGAGGCAGCTGATTGATGATTCTCTCTCATCGATGTTTCTAACTCTCTATCCCTCTCCCTTCCTCTCTATAAAAAAATCAATAAAATATATTTTAAAAAAAGAATAGACTTACTGAATGTGTGTTGCATTTCAGTTTTAAGAGCAAGTGCCCAGGCAACTATAGGCAATACCTCCTGGAATCAGGGTCAGGCCTGGGCTCCAGAGCAGGACTCAGGGGGGACCATGCCAGTGACTGTTAAGTCTTTGCACTGAAGAGACCAGTGGTGAAATAGTACCAGGAAGAGGGTACCCTGTTTAAGGAGTGCTAAGGTTTAAAGGAAAGGATGCTAGCAAAGGAGATAACAAAGATCCACTCCTCTTTTTGGAGGAGAACCAAAAAAGGTTTTGGAAGCCAAAGCAAGAGTTTCAAGGCAAAAGTCATGGTCAATAGAGTAAAATTGCTGCAGAGAATTCAAGTGATAGGAGGCAGGAAATGTCAATGGGGTTTGGCAATTAAGAAGAAAGACATTGCAAAGTGGTTTCAGAAAACTGGGGACCCTGGGTCAGACTGCAGTGAGCTGAGGAGGGAGGGAGGGGCCAGTGGAATGCAGACAAGCTGTGCTTGCTATCTGCCGGGGAATTGGTGTTTGGAAGCAGGTTTGGCAGGAAAAATGCAGTGAGTGGATAAGAGGGACTGGAGGTCCCTATGGGCTTCTCTTTGTAGAATTTCATGGCATTTAGTTATATACTCAGTGCTCTATTATATATTACCGTATCTTATATCAGTGGTTATCAACCAAGATCTGGTTCGCTGCAGGAGACATTTGGCAATGTCAAAAAATTAGTTGTATGCCCGGCCAGCATGGCTCAATGATTGAGTGCCCACCATTGAACCAGGAAGTCATGGTTCGATTCCCAATCAGGGCACATGTCCAGGTTTCCATCTTGATCCACAGTAGAGGGCATGCAGGAGGCAACTGATCAATGATTCTCTCTCATTATTGTTTCTATCTCTCTTTATCTCTCCCTTACTCTCTGAAATCAATAAAAATATTTTTTAATTAGCTGTAGACGAAAAAAAAAGTGTGACAACAGAGGGGGATTCAGAGTTTAGAGGGGTGTTAATTTGTTTTGTTAAGATTGGAGAGATTTGAGCATGTTTCAGGCCTGAAATTAATAGAGAAAAGAGATAATTGGAGAAATTGGGTCCCCAAATGTATAAAAGGAGAAGTTATTTAGAACATACAGAAATAATTAGTCTAAGACAGAAAATAGAAGAGCTCCTCCTCTGAGTTTGAAGAGAAGAATGAGAGAATCTATAATAATAAAAGCATAATATGCTAATGTCCTTCCAGGACAATGCTCAGGCTGCAACCACAGGATCAAGGCAGCCACCCCTAGCTGCAAGGGAGGGCTCCAAGCAGCCACTGTGGCTGGGAAGGCCTATTCTTGCACAAATTTTGTATATCGAGCCTCTCAGGGAGTCCTTGTAGGGACTGTCAAGCAGGGGTGAAAAGGTCAGCATCTTGGGGAGCTAAAGAGTGATGAAGATTTAGAACAGCTAATGGAGAAATCAGTGAGAGAACCTACTACACTTATGTAAAGGGATGGGCCAAACAGAGTCCAGAAGCTCTAACTTGCACGGCCAAGTCATTTATTGTTGTTGTCGTTGTTTTATTATTTTGGCAAGGTTTTTGTTTATTTGTTGTTGGGTTTTTTGTTTGTTTGTTTGTTTTGTGTTTTTTTTTTGTCAGAAGTACTGTGTGTGCATTAGCTCACTTAGCCCTATAACAACAATGGAAAAGATTACTATTATTACATCCCTAGGAAATGGAGGCTCAGAAGTTCATGGTAGGGCTGGGATTTTAACCCAGGCAGTATGGGTCTAAAGGCTACATTCTAACCATTATACATACTGCCTGTGTTTGCAAAAGTCTAAGATGGAGAAGGATGGAGATTAATAAAGGATTGGCCTGACTGACTGGAAAGAAAGGGAGTACTTCAGTCAGTGGGAGCTGCAAGAAGAAAAATGGGTACAGTGAGGGATATTGAGTAGATGATTACATTGAACCAGAGATTAAGATTGAGATTTCCAGAAGTTTCCAATAGATTCCAGTAATTGCTAATGACTAACTAGAGTGTTGTATTGAGGATCCTGCTGCTCAACAGGAGGATGCTGGTATCAATTAGTGATGTCTGCCATGAGCAAGGAGAAGGGAGTGACAGGCTGGGAGCATATGTTTTTCTGGTCCTCTTCTACATCATTTCTATCCAGTCGATATGGGTTATTTCCGGAGTAATTGAGGGTAGAGGGAGATGTGCTTAGGTCCCTTTCTACTGTCCCTTATTTAAGCAAGCTTGGAACCATGTGGGTTTAATAGGCATAGTTTCTAATTTTTAGGAGCTTAAACCTAAGATATTAAAGCATTTAATCAACAAGTACATAAAATATACATATACATTAAGTATAGATTAAACAGTGGACAAATATTGAGGATACACATACAATAAAAATGTTTTTATAGCACAAGTTAATGCTTAGGTACTGCTTATGAAGGTCAAGCTGTGCTGGCCATTCCACTGCGGGCACCCAGGGGGAAAATGCTGCTGCAAAGCCCACAGTGCACAGGAGAGCTGCCTGCTCTCCACAAGCAATGCCAGAAGGGCAGGGTGCATGTCAGAAAGCCAGCTATTGCATGCTGGGAACTCTTAACGTCTCTTTGAAGAGGCAATGTAATGGAAGAGACAGGTGCAATTCAATAGACCTGGGATCTACTCTTCACTGTGTTGTATGGCCTTGCCCTACCTCAACCCCAGTTCCCCCATTTATAGGTAAGTAAGTGAAGGTACTGTATTGTGAATCCTTTCACCAGTCTGTTTTGTGATCGTAGTAATGACATTCAGAGGCTGCTGGACAGAGAGCCTTCTTTGAAAACCAAGCCCTCGCTGCCATCTGACTGATTCCCTTAGGGTCCTTACTGGATTCTCGCTAGGCGACAGCTAACTAAAAGGGGAGGAGACCACATTGGGCCAGTTAGATTATTTCTCTTAAGAATCAGAAATGAGAACTGGCTGCTGGTAGCTGGATATTTTAGCAAAGATGAAATATTTTAGCCATGTACAATTAAAAGTCAGGGGGGAAAAAAAGTCAGAGAAAACTTGTACAGAGACAAGTAGGGCAGGTGAGCAGAAACAAGCAGCATCCAAGGGCCAGAAACCTCAGAGAAACTGGCTATAAAATCAGCTTTTCATGCAAATTTGAAATTCTTGATGTGGGTCCTTCAGGAGAGTCACTAAATATTATTCATCTGCTGGCTGAGAGCCTCCTGTATTCCAAGGACTATTTGGGGGTACACTCATGAACAAAAAGCATAAGGTCCCTAATGTGATACATTTTTATACTGGAGAAGACAAGACAATAAACAAATAAATGTGCTATACAACACTGGATGGGGCTTCAGAAAGGCCAAGAACTGTAAATCTGGGCACAGGGAGAGTGATAGATGGTTAGGGAAGGCTTCTCTGAGCCAGTGATGTTTGAGCAAATGCCTGAGTGAAGTGAGCATGCCACTGGAACATGTTGGGGCAAAGCTACCCAAGCAGAGGAAACTCCAACTGCAGAGATTCTTAGATGGGGTTGTGCTCAACATGGCGAGAGCATCTAGCTCCTATCCCCTCCTCACTCCAAGCCCTACCCTCCACTTGAGAAATTTCACTGTGTGAATGGTCCTCCCATCACACTGCATTCCCAATTCCCAGTCCTCTGGTTGAATATTTGCTTCCACTCCCCTCCACATCAGCCACTCACTCCTCTTGCTGATGCGCACACAGTGCTTAGGAAAGTGACATGAGTAAACATTTCATAAATACTATCATGATCATTTTGGTGCTATTATCGTAATTATTCACCTCTGTGACTAAAGGTCTCCTTCTGTTAAAACTTCTCTGGAAATCTCAGCCTCTGACTCAATCTAATCATCTACCACCTCTGCTCTTATTCCTCAGCAGCTGAGGTTTCACACACACACACACACACACACACACACACACACACACACACACTCACACTCACAGACTTTACCATGATGCAGGTTAGAGCTTCTGGACTCTGCTTGGCCCGCTGCCTGGCTTGAAAACTCCTTTTACATAAGTATAGGTGGTTTTCTCACTGATTTCCCTATTAGCTATCCTAAACTTCATCATTCTTTTCACTCCCAACTGCAATTAGAGAACCTGGGATATTGGTAGGAAATGTCTAGACACAAGCTCTTTCAAGATTGCCCTGTTTTTCTGGATTCGCTCCTAATCATCTGGATGTGAGCCATTCATTTCCAAAGCTCTTCCTCAGAAATAAATTGTACCCAGATATTAAATCCCAAGCTGCTGGGTCTTAGAGTTGGGCCATTTCTATTTTATAACCATTGTAAGTGACATGGAGTGGTTAAGAAGCTTGGCTGTGAATGCACTGTTGTTTAAATTTCTTGAGTGAGTACTACTGTACAAACAACATTGTAGTACATTAATGGAATTTTTTACATTATTTTATCATATATGATTTTATAAAACTGTACTCATAACATATGCACAATTTACATTTTGCCTTTTTTCAATGCAGTTTTCTCAAATACCAATCTACAGTATCGTAACTACTTGCAGTTTCTACTTTAATTCTGAAAAGACATCCCAGAGAAAATCCTATCAAATGCTGTTTGCCCGCACGACTGATACCCCGGGTGTTTTCCTCGCAGTTGTTGGGAGTTGAACATTTACATTCATCCCCCTTAGAATCCTTGATGTTTTCAAATCTCACAAGGGTGTCCGGATTGATGGATTATGATGCGGTGATTATCTTCCTGTGCCAACAGTGAATGCTTCAGGCAGAAGAAGCAGACCAGTTGGAAAGAAGGAAGTCTTTGTTTACCCAAATGTGTTTTTAATTATAATATTAACACGATTAAGCAAAACCAGGGAAGCACAAAATAATCACGTGGGAGTCTAAGAAACTAAAGTCCTTTTACTTATTCTAAACTGATTGTGTCTCCAAATATTGGATCTTTTTCCTCTTTACTAGTGTTTCTTTAAGAAACCCCAAATTAAATGTGCCTTTGCTTTAACCACCAAGTAATTGTAGAGGGGGAAAAAAATGACCAAATATAAAATAAATCATGTTGGCACTTAAAGATTAAAATGAAGACACAGCTTGATCAAAGAGATTTATTTGTTGCTATTTGTTCATCATTATGAATATTTCAAATCTTATGTAGTCAAAAGTGATCCATTACTGTTTCCCAGGAAATGATAATACCCCCTCCAGTGTCATTAACAATGTTAATCTTGGTCAAGGTTCCCCGGCATGAAAAATGTACAAAAGCAGTGTTGCTATGGTAACTATTCTAGATCAGTGTTTCCCAGCTCTTACGCTTCACTTGTAGAGGCATAGTATCATGGGCAAGATGTCCTATACTTGCATGGATACATATATACATATATACATATACAAGTATGCAACAGGTTTCCCTCCCCGCTCACAGAGAACATTTTTCTTAAAATAAAAAACACTAAACATACATGAAATGAACTCCATAAATAGAAAGCTAGAAAGCTGTTTGTTCCTCTATAGCTTCTTGTACATCTACCTAGGGCACTTGCATGCTTTATCTGAGTAATCAAACAATTTCTTTCTGCTGCACCGTGAACACCCGTGTGGGCCCTTTCCGTTTAGCCCCAACCCATTTCCTCTACTTGATGAATGTGCTCATCAGAGATCTTTCCATTGGAAGCAACAGAGATGCACTGAAGCTGGTGGAGGGGCATTTACTGGAAGAACAAGGGTGTTTCAGGACCCTTACGGAGGCAGCCCCAGGAAGAGCTAGAACCAGGCAGCAAAGACCACCAAGCTGAGTGCAGGTTCTCTCTAGGGCAGTGGTTCTCAACCTTTCTAATGCCTCGACCCTTTAATGCAGTTCCTCATGCTGTGGTGACCCCCAACCATAAGATTATTTTCATTGCTACTTCATAACTGAAATTTTGCTACTGTTAATGAATCGTTATGTAAATATCTGTGGTTTTCTGATGGTCTTTGGCTCTACAGCAGTGGTTCTCAACAGCTAGCAGGGTCGCCTAAGACCATTGGAAAACATGTAAAATCACCAAAGATATCCTCAGGTGAGAAAGTTGGAGAAGGTAACAGATTCCCTCACTCCCCTGAGAGTAAAAGCTGGAACCCTTTTTCCCAGGTGGAGTCCTAGGGATCTTAAGGGTCTTTGATAGGTGACATTATAGGCAGGGAGCCCAGCAAATCCAACGTTTTATTTGTTCGGCAGTTTAATAGTCAGTGGAGAATCTTCTGAGTTGGAAGATGACATTCAGGTCTTGTAAAAAGTTTACTGCCTAAATTCCTCGCGGGGAAGTACAGAAGGCCAGAAAGAGCAAGTTAAAGCAGTTACAAGGAAGGGAGAATTTTAACTGTTTTTATGAGTCCATCCCAACATCCACCCTGCTTTGCAAATGTTAAATATGTGAATCACAAATTGGGCCAGAGGCCTGGGGACCCAATAGTTCTCACATCACAGCCGCTGTTATTAATTCTTTGTGGGTAGGTTGCAGAGGTGGGGCAGGGCTGGCCTTGAGCACAAGCAAGCAGTAAAAGCTGTTTAGCTCAATCATCCCACAGTCCTCTCTTTATTCCAATGTTTCCCTCCCTTCTTGCCACCCTTTCCCAAAATTTTCAAGAAATAATTATAGTCATTAGCAATTTAGGGTGAATAGATGTTATCTCTTCAATGGCTATTTCTGTTTTAAACTTATGGAGGTCTCCCAGGCTGTTAAAGGAATTTTAAGAATATATTTAAGAACACGTAGCAATTCTTTCCTTTCTAAAATATTAGTCAAACCCTGTATAATCATCTTAGTTCCATCCAAAGTTGAGATTCAACCAGTGAACACTGGTTCTCTCTGTTACTATAATTTCAGATATAGATAGATAGATAGATAGATAGATAGATAGATAGATAGATAGATAGATAGAGAAAATCAACTAATAAATGCATAAATAAGTGGAACAAAAATTGATGGTTCTCTCTTTCCTCTCTCCCTTTCTGCCGTTCTCCCTCTTTCTCAACATTACAAATTAAGGCACCTCCCTCTCCCTCCTCCCAAATCAATCTCCCTCCTCCCAAATCAACAACCATCTTATCAAATTGAAATCTTTCCTAAAATCTTTTTCCCCCTAGTAGTACTTTCAAACAAGGGTTAAAAAAATGAATTGCTGAATAGTAAACTCTGGGAAACACGGTTAGGGGAGAAAAGAATATATAACCAGGCCTGGGGTTCTTAAACTTTATTATGCCTAACAGTCACCTGAAGAAGGTATTTAAAATGCAGATTTCTAGGCGTCATCTTCAGACATTCTGCTTTTATAGATCTGGGATGGTTCGGGCATCTGTATTTTTAACTTGCATCCCAGGTAAATCTGATGCCCATGTTCCCTGCATGACACTGAAGAAACAGTGACCTTGACTGCTGCTGTGAATTGTGCACAGAGGCTGTGGACAGGTCATGTATTCTTCACCAGGAGCTTAGGGTTCCAGATTTTACAGGCACTCACCTTTCTTCAGTCGTACAGCTTTAACTACACGGGGTTCTGATACTAGTTTCCTGGTGCATTTTCATGGATTGGTGCTCCCTTCTTGCTGGCCTTCTATGAACACTCTTTTTTGTTTTGAAATTACAGAGTCTGTCATCCCGAGTAGTGGAACATTTCATGTGAAGCTCCCTAAAAAGCACAACGTGGAGCTTGGAATAACCATCAGTTGTAAGTAGAAGTGTTTTCTTTTAAAAATTTCATTAGAAAATTGTATTGTCAAATGGTTTACAGGTGTGGCAAACACTTTAAGTGTCATCGACAAGTTTCTACATAACAATACAAAAATGTGGAGCCAATCCCACCTCCAACACTTACAGGCTCTGTGAATGGCTCAAGCTACTTTAATACTCTCTAACCTTATGTTTCTTCATCTGTAAGATGAAAATGGTATCACAAAATATAGGGTTATATTAAATAACCTAGTGTGGTCCCTGGCAAGTAATAAGTGCTCAATAAATGTGTCTCTGACCACTCTCCATTAATAACTAGATGAGCATATAAATGCATGTAAGTTCTGTACATTCCAATATATTATGGATTTAGTTTTCACAGTCATCTGTTTAACTAACAAAAATTACATTTATTTACTTTTAAAAACATTTTCCCATCTGGCCACTGTGCATCTAAAATCTATTTTGCAAGACTAAAGCAGTGTTTACTTTAGTAACTTCCTGAACTCCTCAATGATATAAGGTGTCTGAGTAACCAAATCACAAAGAAAAAATAAAACAGCCCAGACAGCATGGCTCAGTGGTTGAGCATTGACCTATGAACCAAGAAGTCAGGGTTTGATTCCAGGTAAGGGCACATGCCTGGGTTTTGGGCTCCATCCCCAATGTGGGAGCATCAGGAGGTAGAGGATCAATGATTCACTATCATCATTGATGTTTCTCTCTCTCTCTCTCTCTCCCTCTCCTTCCTCTCTGAAGAACAAAATATATAAATGTATTTCATTCCCTCCTCTTCTCAGACTCTAGATTTATAACTGCTTTGGTTAATAGCTTTGAAAATTTCAACCCCAATGGAGTTTTATAGAATGGAGATTGAGGTTTTACTGCTTTTAATATCCATAAACTATATTTATCCATAAATGTCCCCTCCCCCCAGGAAATGAAGCAAATGATTAATACGTAAAGACCAAAAGAGACAGAGGCAATGTCTGTGACTGAGGGGTGGTCCCTCCAGGAAAGAGTGATGAGGCTCCATGAAAGTGCCTCATTACACTCCGCTGCATAGCATTTCGGCAAAAAATAAAGAGATCTCAATTGGGCAGTATAAAATGGGGGCTGTCCAATTCAACATTGACCATATAAATTTAACACTGAAAATGAAATGGAATTTATCACTAATAAATTGCACATACCAGTACAATACAATATGTATAAGAGAGATCTATATCCCCCCCAACCCCTTCCACTACCACCACCACCACCACCAAACCTCAGAGTGACTTACTGGAAGCAAAGTAGGGTTGAAGTGTCTGGTGTGCCTCTATATACAGTAAATAGAAAGGTGAAATGGAAGTTTGGAAACTCCAGGCCTATTCTAGGTCCTTAAAGTCAAATATGCCTTTAGTTGGGTCACTTAACCTCTCAGTTTGCTCATTATAAAGCAAAGATGGCATACCATTATTCTGAAACTGATGCGATTAATGAAATTAAAAGAGAGCTCATCAGGACTTACTATTTTAAAAAGATGGTACTTGCCAGGTGGCTCAATTGGTTAGAGTGTCATCCCAGTACACCAGGGTTGCAAGTTCTGTCCTGGTGAAGGCACATGCAAGAATCAACCAATGAATGCATAAATAAGTGGAACAACAAATCTATTTCTCTCTCTCTCTCTCTCTCTCTCTCTCTCTCTCTCTCTCTCTCTCTCTCTCTCTCTCTTTCTCTCTCATCAATCAATAAAATAAAATAAAAATATTTGGAGCTCAAGATAGCTTCTGTTACTCCATGCTCTCATTCTCATTTATTCTATTTATTCCATTCTGTTTATTTATTTCATCAGAATTGGCTGTGGAAGTGGTACCTCTTGGAGTTGTGCAGTGCATACCTTACTGGCTGTGCACAGAGGACCTACCTTCCACTCCATTTTTTCCTCCTTTTGTCTTCATTGAATGAATGCATTGTGAGTGGCCACCATGCCCAGGCCCAGTGCTGAGTTTTGGAAAATACACTCCCTGCCTTAGAGATGTTACTGCTAGTGCATATACTGAAGACACCTCCCCAGACGTTTCTATTGCTACACATTTGCCACACAGTTAATTTAATCTCTAATTTTTATTAGGGAAAAATGTCTTTTTTGGGTGTGTGTTTCTTTACAACAGATTTATTCTTAAAATTGATATACATAAAATGTAATTTAACTATAAAGGGGCGTATTCGCTTAAAAACAAATCCTGTGATACATTCCTCTTTTTAAGTCAATATTTATATGTTCAATTTGTTTAAGGTGTAATCATCTTGTACATACAACTATAAAATATTCACATGAAGAACCATTTAAAATCACGCTGTATGATGATGCTAAATATGCACTAAGTATTACTTTTAAAATTGATTTTAATACCAATAATGGAAACCACCCCAAGCCACGCTTTCCCTCCCCCCCCCAAGAATGGCCTGACTTTTAGCTGGCCCTAAGCTATCGTTATTCATAGAAGCCACAGTATGATGCTCCCTGGATGGAGAAATGAGGCATAAGCTTGTCATACGTGCTTGTCAGCCCTTCTAGAATTACAGCTCCATTTATACAACTAATCATCACCAAACTGAGTTTGTGTCTCCTTGTGGAAAATGCTCATATTTTGCCTGTTGAGAAAGCAGAATTTGCTAAAAGAAAAGCCAGAATCCATTTTCATTATTATGAAATGGTGAACTCCTGAAGCCTAGCACAGCTCCTGGCATACACCAGGTGCTCATTGAATGCTTATCTGTTGAGTGAAAGATAAGGCGTGTATGATAAACAGTCTTCTGCCAACCACTGTGCTCTCTGGGAAATGAGCCTCTGAAGAAGATGATGAATACAGAAGTCTGTGCAGAGGCTATGGTGTGGACTGAAGAAGCACTGGCTTGGAAAATGATTAAGAGCAAGGACTCAGAGCCCAACTGTCCATTCCTTGACTGTCTAATTTCTCTGTACTCAGTTTCCTTGTCTTTATGAGTCTGGCTAGTGGTTTATCAATTTTGTTTATCCTTTCAAAAACCAACTCTTGGTTTCATTGATTTTTTTATATTGTTGTGGGTTTTTTGTTTTGTTTTGTTTTTTGTTTGTTTTTGTTTGTTTTGTCTCTGTGTTATTTATTTCTGCTCTAATTTTTATTATTTCCTCCCTCCTACTTACTCTGGGCTTTTCTTGTTCTCTTTCTAGTTCTTTAAGTTTTAGAGTTATATAGTTTACTAGAGACTTGGTGCACAAAATTCGTGCATGGGGGTGGGGAGGTGTTATCCCTCAGTCCAGCCTGCACCCTCTCCAATCTGGGTCCCCTTGAGGGATACCCAACCACCCATTTAGGCCCAATCCCTCTCACAATCCAAGACTGCTGGCTCCAAATCTCTCTCTGCTTCTGCCTGATTGCCCCTAACTGATTCTGCCTGCCAGCCTGATCACCCCCTAACCACTCCTCTCTGCCAGTCTGATCACTGCCTAACTGCTCCCTGGCTAGCCTGATCTCTTCCAACTGCCCTCCTCTGCTGGCCTGGTCACTCCTAACTGCCCTTCCTGCTGGCCTGATTACCCACAACTTCTCTCCCCTGCAAGCCTGGTCCCTCCCCCATCTGCTGTACCCTGCAGGCCTGATCCTCCCCAACTGTCCTCCACTGCAGGCCTGGTCACCCCCAACTGCCCTCCTCTGCTGGCCTGATCACCCCTAACTATCCACAACTGCCCTCCCCTGCAGGCCATCTTGTAGTGGCCATCTTGTGTCCACATGGGGGTAGCCATCTTTGACCACATGGGGGCAGCCATCTTGTGTCTTGGAGTGACAATCAATTTGCATATTACTCTTTTATTAGATAGGATTGCTGATGTTTCTTGTTTTTTTGAGATAGGTCTGTAGTGTTATGAACTTCCCTCTGAGAATTGTTTTTGCTGAGTCTCAGAGATTTAGGGTTGCTGTGTGTTCATTTTTATTGTTTCCAGGAAGTTTTTTATTTCTTTCTTGATCTTGTTGTAACCCATTCATTGTTTAATAACATGTTATTTAGCATCCATGTGTTTGAATATTTTTGGGTGTTTTTACTGTAATTAATTTCTAATGTCAATGCTTGATATGATTTCAATCTTCTTAAGCTTGTAGAGACTTGTTTTGTGTCCTAACCTGTGGTCTATCTTTGTGAATGTTCCATGTGCACTTGAGGAGAATTTATATCCTGCTGTGTTGAGGTGAAATGTTCTATAAATATCAATTAAATCTATGTGATCCAGTGTGTTTTTAAGAGTCTCTGTTTCCTTGTTAAGCTTTTGTCTGGAAGTCAGAGGGGTGCTAAAGTACCCTATTATACCTGTATTATTGTTGATCTCTCCATTAAAATCCTCCAGAAGTTTTTTTTAATGTATTTAGGTGTTCCTATATTGGGTGCATATGTATTTACCAGGGTTATATCCTCTTGTTGGATCAATCCCATTAGTATTATGTAGTGACCTTTGTTGTCTCTTGTGATGCCCTTCATTTTAAAGTCTATTTTTTCAGATATGAGTATTGCTATTCCAACTTTTTTTTTTTCTTTTCCTTTTGCTCTTTTGTTTTGAGGTAGGTCTCTTGTAGACAGCATATAGTTGGGTTATGTTTGTGTATCCAGTCTGCTACCCTGCACCTTTTGATTGGAACATTTAATCGATTTACATTTAGGGTTATTATTGAGATGTACTTATGTATTGCCATTATATTTCTGTATGGCTAGATTTCCCTCTCTGTTTCTTCCTCTCATTACAACAATCCCTTTAACATGTCTTGTAATGCTGGCTTGGTGGTGATATACTCCTTTAGCCTCTTTTAGTCCGGGAAGCTCTTCATTTGACCATCTATTTTGAATTGATAGCCTTGTATATATAGTAATCTTAATCTCATATCCTTGCTTTCAATTACCTTGAGTACTTCATGCCATTCCTTTCTGGCCTGGAGAGTTTCTGTTGAGAAATCAGGTGTCAGCCTTATGGAAACACCTTTG